ACACACACACACACAGGGAAGCACGATAGGCTTGTGTTGAACACTCAGGGTTTGCATATTTTTATATGTCACTGACCCCATACATGCACTTTTTTAGTCCATGGAAGCTTTGGCGTAATGCCCAAGTGACATCATCCAGAGAGAGAGAGTTGTTTTGCTCCCACAGATCGTAGAGGCTCCCTGTAGATCCACAGGAGGCCTTGGAAGAGCTTGTAAAGGGCTGAGAAAGTAAACTGAAGTGCGCTTTTCTTCTGAATTAGTGTACTGTGCTGTACTCAGGCTGACAGGGAAGTGTACATATGTAATATATGCCTGCGTGGGTCGAAGACATCATTGGTGAAGACCAGTGGGGGAAGATACCAGTGTACAGCACAGTTGGTTCCTCCAGTGACTCTGCTGAAGTCTTTGCTGGTGAGGGTTAGTTGTAACAGCAGCAACTGGGCGCTGGAGTTTCAAATGTCTAATATGGCTTTCTCTCGTTTTTTACTTCATCAGTCTAAATTTACAATTGAAGGGTTTCATTCCAAAACATCATTTCAGAAATATAGGATTTGAAAATGCCTTACTTTAGCACCACCAAGTGGTAGTATGAGGAATAACACTGTAAAACATCATCAGAATAATCTGATAGCTGCTGTAATCACATGGTGGCTTTTGAAGGTTTAAGGTTTTCTTGTCATTTTATAAAGATTACTTCCTGGATATAGCATTCCCTGGATTTCTCACCTTATATCAAGTTTGATTTTAAAAACAGAACTGTGGATACTTAATATCCTCTTAAAAGAACTTCTTCCCCCACCTCTGGGGGGGAACAACACAAAGCCAACCATACCTCGGGAGTCTGTTTGCTCAGCATTTCCTATGACCAGTTCTGCATCCGAGTGATTACCATGACCATCTTCAGGGAGCAGACCTGAGGATACAGCATGTTCAGGATGCACCGTTCTTCTTGGACCTTCAGTTGTAATGTTAGGATGAACGTCTGCTTTCAACATTTCACTGCTCATCAACTGACTGTAGTTCTCTTTTTTTGATATGTTGGATTACGGCATAACTTTATTTGACAGGTTTTGCATTCTGCTTTGTTCACTTAATCCAGTGGTTGTCAAACCACTCCTGGCATGCCCCCTCTTTCAGAACCCCACCATTTTTATCATTACGAATGATAAACTTAGCAACTAATAACAAAGGATCCAAGTTGAATTTTAGTTAAATAGAGGTCAGCATGATAGGATAAGCTTTAACTTAGTTTTTCTCATATTTTTCCCCTGGTCATCCACGCCCTTACAGTGGCTCTATGATCCCCAGTTTGAGAACCACACAGCTAAACTCTAGTTTGAAAAGTTATTGGATGAAACCTCTCTGGGTGAAAAGTGCACCCAATTATATTTCTGTACAGGCCCGGTCACACCAGCATTTTAAATGGCAGCATCTTGTAGCAAAATCAATTCATTTAAATGGAATTATTGAGATCAGTGAATTTGTAAAGTAAACCTTTGAAACTACAATACTTGAATTTGCACCACAGACCAATAACAAACTGTGCAGGAGTCAAATACTCCACAAAAGGGTTTGTAGATGGTTACAAACTGTGTTTTCCTGTTAATGATAAAGCTAACAGTCAATTAGTAAGAACTATTGTGACTGACATTAGCATGTCCCTGGTTACTGTGCTAGAAGTTTGCTTGCCAGCTCCATCAGTTCACCACCTAGCCCTTGTGAGTACAAATCCTCTCGCCAAGCTTCTAGCACCACCTATTTCAGACTCACAGATGAACTTTACCATGGCAGTTCAGGGTTGGACTATATCTACAACTGATGTGTGGAAGTGTAGTACGTGAATACGCAAGTATAAATGACCGATCCCACAGGTATTTTTCCTGGGAAACAGGATCACATACTGGGGAGAGTTTCCGGGAAATACCAGGAAATTCTATCTCAATTCCTGTGTGCAACCCTCTTTGCACAATATATAAGGACATGGATAACTACATCTACAGTTATTTTGTAAGTAAAGGATTAAAGATGAACAGCTTAAAAGTAGTTGAATAGTGGAACTTCAATATTGTTTTCAGTGAGTTTCAGAGTTTTCAAATAATGGTTATCTAATTTTGGAATGAAACTCTACAACTGCACACAATGTCAAAGAATTCCTTTACCACGAGATCACGTCTCCAACTTAAGGTCCCTAAAGCAACACAACACTTGGCTTTAGAAGCAGTGACACAGATCCAGTGTGTGTGAGTAAAGGGCGAGTGCTAGGTACTGCATTAGTAGATGAAACAGTCGGGTTAAACTACCACTGTGTGACGACGCCACGCTCTTGTCTTGTCCCGTGGGTCCAGGGCAGATCTCCTCAGTACCACAGTGGAAGATCCCGGGGAGCTCTGATCTATCCAGCCTGAGGAGGAGGAGAACAGAGGGGGTGCCTCCTGGGCGATACGAGGGAGGGGATCTATTTGCTGAATTGACCTTTGACCTACAGTTGATCCCTGAGGAACCCCAACACTCCTGTGCTGACTTCCCTCATTGACTTTGGTCACATCCACCCTCTCTGCTCTCCAACCTCTGACTCTGTCCTCACTCTCAAGGTCCAGATTCATGGACATAGCCCTTGTCCTCCCACCTCTGGTCTTCCTGTAGCGGACTGGCGCTGACTGGTTCCAGTCTGGCTGCTGGGTCCCGTGAAAGCTGGAAGCCTGGTAGAGGTTGGGAAGCCTGGTGGGGCAGATCCAGAAAGGGACTGTGGGGCGTCTCGCGAGATTGTGAGACTTCAAATGGGAAGGAGGATTAGTCACAGCTGGGGGTCTTGGGTATGTGGCATGGATCTGATGGTGGGAGCAGAGGAAACTGTTCGGACGAAGTTGCGGTGCATTGCCCATCATGGTCGTTCTCTGCCTGTTCTCCCTTTCTAACTTTTTTGCGTCATTGCCTGTTTCGCTTCCCACATCCTTTTCAGCCTCTTCATCTCCCGCCAATGAATCTTTTCCTTCTGTCGTCTCTGGAGCTTTCACCCCATTTTCCTTTTCATCCCTTTTTTCTTTTTTAGGAATTGTATGTTCTCCCTTGACTGCCTCTTCCTCCCCTCTATCCTCTTCCTCCTCGCCTTCAACTCCTTCTCCCCTGCAGTTGCTGGCCTTGACTGGCTCATGCTCGGAGTCTTCATCAGCACTGCTGCCCTGCAGGTGGGTACTGAGGCATTTTTTACGTTTGCGGGTCACAGCAGAGATGATGGACATGGGCAGGAAGTCTCTGGCATTCAGGTCTTTCTTGGAGCCCGAAGAAAGCTGCAAGGATCAAATATCAGTCAAATAATGGTAACTCCTAATTCATATTCCAAGATCCTAGTCCCTGAATTAAAGTACAAGAAAGAGATTTCTTACTTACCTTTGACTTAAGTGAATCGCTGGTGGTGGAATCTACTGGGAAGGAACAAGATGTGCATTAGAACCATGTCATCACTGGACGGGTGGTGGTAGTAGTGTTAGTAGTACAAAAGAGTGATATCTGGCTAACCACAGCACACACTACCAATTCTGCAACCTTTTGGGAGAACTCTAGCCATTATCTGAGGATCTGTCTTTAAAATCAAGCAAACAACTCTTTGCATTTACTTTAAGTAGTAAAAATGGCTATAGTTGACCTTCAACGTCAGAGGAATGGTGATACATCGAGGTGAAACCATGGGTAAATGAAACCAAGTGCAATAGAAACACCAAACACACAAGGAGAAAGACCTGGTCCTACCGAAGGGGCTGATCCATTGTCTCAGCTAGAGAGAAAGAGTGCCGAAAGGTCCGGGAAAAAGAGAGAAATTGGGAAAAAGTAGGAAACATCATGAGTATATAGAGCAGAAACAGCCGGGAAGTACAGAGATCTATTGGGAAAGGAAGACACTGAGCTGAGTCTCATTTGGTAAGGCCAGCAGTAGGAGTATAGAAAGTGTGAAGAGTGAAGCAATTTAACATTAGGGTTTCAACTGGCACTAGTCATCAATACCTACAACAATGCCAATATCATACAGCAACTGGCCAGGTGTGCAGAAGTGAGAAGGTAGGCAGGATTTTCATTCTTCACAGAACTTCCATGCCTCTGGATTTTACATCAACCAGAAATGCCAGCATTTTAAACCAAAACTGATGTATCTACTCACAAGTGGAAGAGACACAGTCTGTCCTGGGAATGATCATTTAGCTTCCCAACCCCTTGCAATAAGTCAAAAAGTGTGTATTTTATAGTTCACCTGTTTTACAGAATCAGATTATGCTCTTAGTCCTCTTTGTAGTTTATGGAGTCACCATCGAACCGCATGGCTCCCAGTCTGATCATTCCCTGGAGACAGCAGTGCACTGGCTGGACTACAAGAGGTGACTTCAGGAGTTGTCGGAGAATCACTAAGCTCGTCTGTTAGACGCAAGAAGCTTCACTGATGTTTATTTTCACTAGCCAATGGTTGTATTGAGTCTCAAACTAGTATTTTTGTTTGCTTCCTTGGATCCTTAGTTTTTTTGTTGAGATAAGGACATTGTTAGTTGAACTGTGGGTTTTATATTGCATACTGACTTTATGTATAATCTTAAAATTCTGTGTAATTACTCTTACAACCAGACAGGGAGAAGAAAGTTCCAGAATGCAAGTTTTAGGAAAGTCCGTGCCGTTAAGCCCATTTTAACGAATATCATCTGTCTCCGCCTTCGAGTGTGGCTGTTTGGAACAGTTAGAAACACTCCTTCAGACGTGGTAGGATGAAGGCACATTGCTGTACCTTCAAATGTGAAATTTGTGGTAATGTAAGATCCTTTCCCAGGATTTTATGTTGATAAAGCTAAAGTTTCTCTAAGTCTCACTCAAGTTGGATTCCTCACCTGATGCCTCTCCTGGCATGCCTGGCCTGCCAATGTTAGACAGCAGATGGTCAATGTTGGGCACAGGCTGCATGTCCCGCTTATCCTCTGGGGCCTACACACACACACACACACACACACATTTACCATACCCAAAAAATAAGTACAAATGAGGACATCTGAATATAAACAATCTCTGTATTCATGACATCCTCAGTTATTTGCACTAATAAAGCCACTACTGTGGTCTAACATACCTTCTCTTCCTTATCAAACTCTCCATTGCTGAAGAACCAGTCATGCTGTTGAAGTAACAAAACACAACATCACTGGATGATAAGACAAATACTAGTGCAGTATTTCTTGTGTGAGCAACTGTTGGTTCTTACGTGCAAGATAAGCGTCTCCACTATTTTGTAGCGATCGGGCATGTGGGTGACCATGTCAGTCATATTGTCCTCTGACGTCCTCACCAGAGTGGGACCAAAAACCAGAGCCAGGTTTCTCGGCTCCATCTGAAAATAATATCAAAGTTATGTTCCTGTCTGGCCCCATTAACGCCCACACTAAACTGTTAATATGAAGGGGGAATAAAGTAATAGGTTACCTTATTCTTCTCAGAGTGATCTGCCACCTTCTTGAGGTGGCCCACCAGGAACTTAAGGGTGTGATAATAGTGATCTGGGAGGTCATGGATCTGGATAAAGACGGACGGTAAGCAAGAAATGCAGGTAGCAAGAAGAAGATAAAATAAATCTATGATTAACATAACATATTAATTGCTCAATATTATTTGACACATACCAGTTTCTTCATAGTCTTCAGCCTGTCCTCTGCGTCTTCTATCCGGTTGGCATCAATGAAGTCATTGTATTTGTCTGTAGACAGAGAAAGCGTATGAGTAACATACAATGAAAGGACTATATTCAATATTTCAACATTGAGATACAAACATATCACATTATGACAAGAGTTTAACTCTTTGTTATAACAATATACAATACACACTATTTATCTTGTTATAACCAGAGTTATTATAGTTTTGTATTTTTATTTAATTTTTGTTTTCAGTTCAGTTTAGTTTCAGTTAGTGGGTCAGTCTTTATTGTTTAAAAATATTTAGTTTAGTCTTTATTGTTTTACTAAATTGTTTTACTTTAGTTGTTATTCGTTTGAGTCATATTTATTAGAATATTTCCTGTATATTTTTATTTTATTTTACTTAGTTTATTTAATTTAGAATGACACAAAATTGTTTTAGTTCTTGTTTTTTCACACATAGTTTTAGTTTTTAGTTTAGTTTTACTATAATAACCTTGCTTAATAACTTTCACAATATAACAATATAAATACCACATGCAAACAGCAGGCAGGAAAATTGTATTAGTATCCAAACTGTGAAAATAATCCAGTGGCAACCCTGATTTTATATTATATACCAGTGGTTCCCAACCAGGGGGTCGCTAAAGCTTCACACGCGGTCAGGAGGCCATCTTGATTTTAAGGGGTGTAAGAAAACTTACACACACAGTAGACCTATATCTCAACTTTTAAGTCATTTATGTGAAGAAAACTAAACTGAATCACTGTTTTTTTTAAGTTTTGATTATCTTAATCTTGAAGAGCTGAACACAAGCTGTATTCACAGAGCCACAACTCTCTCATAAACAGCCTTATCCTGCATTAGAACAGTTCAAACAACCACAGAGCTAATAGAACAATGGCCAAGTGTCAGGTAGAAGAAAACACTGAATTTAAAGCCTATTAAGTATGTATGATAGTTAAAAAATATAAATATTTCACTCAGGGGTCAATCATTTACTCAATGATAGAAAAATGGTCCCTTAAAGAAAAAGGTTGAGAACCACTGATATATATATAGTATTTACAGTTCACAATAAACAAACGAGTGGACGCACCATCAGTAAACAGTGGCTCAGGCAGTTTTCGGAAGAAGGATTTGAGCAGGCTGCTGATTACATTCAGGTCCTGCCATCTCTGTGGAGACAGTCATTCAGCATTATAAAAATAATCTTACACAATGGTAATACTTGGTATAAAACATTCTTAGGTATGACTCCAGCTAAGACTTTTATTCCAAAACAGCTTTGAAAAGACATCCTATGTGATATAAGCATGTGTCCTGCACACCTCCTCAGCAGTGTTGATGTCCATGCCCTTGTTGAGATGCTCCTGCAGGTTGGACACCATGGCATTATTCCCCGGCACCCGGTAAATACCGGTGTACTCCAAACCTGTCCCCTCAACCACGCCGCAGCACATCTCCACGATCAGAGGGACAAACTGTGGAGAGATGGAGGAGGCACATATAAAGAAGGGAAAGGAAGAGGGAAGTAAGTGTGGTGACAAAGAAGGAGTAAGAGATGGAAGTAGAGTCCAGAGACCTGCTAACTGCTAGCCTGCTTGCTCGGTAAGCTAACCCAACTCCTGGGTATTTCTATAGTATCTGAAATCAGTCCAGTTGTTCCTGTTTCTTTCCTTGTTCTTCCCCTTGTGTATACACCAGGTAAGGACTAGAACTGAAACGCTTAAGCCCTAGACCTGACTGTATCATAAGTGAAAGCGATTAAGTAAATAAGCAGTATTTTGACCTCGGTTCCACTTCAATATTTCTAAAATGTAAAGTATCAACTATGTGGTTAGTGTTAGTGTGTCTTCAAATGACTTGAGTTGTTTGGACTGAAGTAGAATTCGTGTTATTTTTATGCTATGAATCATGTTGTTGGTGTAGTTGTTTGGCCTCATCATAAAAAAACTTAGGGCTTACTTTATGGTTGACAGCTGGCTGACAGTCCTCCAGTCGCACACCAAAAGCCTTCGGGCTGCCTGTCTTCTTGGCCTTCTTCATGATGTTGATGCCCCACAGCGCCTTGTTGTCATCTGCACACGCACACACGATCAATTTGATATTTACATCCACATGGAAAAAAACATCATTTAAACAGCAGTATATTATCACTAACTGGCCCATATCAGATTTTTAACGTCCACAGCAACATCAGCAGCTCTCAATCAAACACAGGTGGTGAAGAGTAATGGCATACAAGTGTGTAAGTGTGAAATTACTGATATCCATCCTCCAATGACTATATTTCACATCAAGATCCTCTGATTGAACCATTGTCGTTCACAGTACCATGGACACCAAACCATTGGCACACACTAAAATGCTGCATGTGGATATTCATGAAGGACACTCCAGTTGTACAGGTGCATAAACTAGTTACCCTGTGATTTTATCTGCAATGTCAGTTCTGCCATATGCTGGTTTCATTTCAGCGAAGACACATTGTTATTGTCTATCAATGGAAGACATTTAAACACCATAAAAAGTCACACAAATGATTTGCAAAAAATTACAGCTTCTAATCTTAAAGGTAACATTTAGGAGGATCTATTGGCAGGATTGGAAGATTATATTCATAGGTATGTTTTCATTAGTGTATAATAACCTGAAAACCTTTGAATGATCCACTGGTCTCTTAAATAAGTCTATGCCGAATTTGTCTGTTGCTGTTTGTAAATGCATTAATTAAAGTTCTCGACTGAGCCAGAGAGAGCAGCTTTGGTCTAGAAGTTATGTTCTAAAGCACAAATGCACACAGCCACACCACCACACAACCCTGCAGGAAGGAACCATAGTTGTGGATTGTGTGTGAACGCAGCTGTCCAACTGACACTAAGTCTCTACATTGTTTTTTGCATAGTATGCCTTTAAACCTCAAAATACAGTCCTTTGTTGTAACAGTGAGTGTTGTATATTTCCAGTTATTACTATTTAAATAGTTTATCATTTGTTAATATGGTGGCCTTAGAGGATGTAGGCTTTCTCCTCTGTAGATCATGAATGTTTGTATAGAATTTCATGGCAATCAGTTTGTACCCACCAGTTCTCGGGGCTCGGTTCACTAAGGCGTTGTCAGTCTTAGCCAGGAGGAAGGGAGGCATCATACGATGGGCTCTGGGAGAGGAGTCTGGCTTATTACCTGTCAGACTGCACACAGTGAGGGACACAAAGAAATTTGTTATTTTATGAAGATGGGGTTTTAGGATTTAAGAAAATGAGATGGTCTCCATACGTTTATAAAAATGTCATGATGACCTCAGTTTTATGCCTTGTTTTTCTTGGTTTTAGGAAACTGCATTTACAGTTATTGTTTCTGACATGCCTATAGCCGAGAGCTACAGTGAGTCCTAATTATACAAAGGTTAAGGGACAGTTGTGATTAAACAAAGACTTTTGGCTAAATATAATCCACCATGCTGACCTGTGTTTTCTGTAGTCATTCAGCTTCTTGTTGATGAGAGCTTGTCTTGAGAAACCAATCTCCTAGAGCAAATAGAGATTACAAAAAATGTGATCAGTAAGTGTGTGTTTGTGTAAATTCAATTAGATTAACTGGATATGAAGATCTAACCTCATTGTCGGTCTTGCTGTTCTCCCTGATGACCCTGATCCAGGCCAGCATGTCGTCCCTGTCCTCGGCCTGCAGCAGGTACTCGCAGAAGTCCTGCGTGGTCAGCCTCAGGGTGTGCTTACGCTTGGTTTCACTGTACGCGATGTCGATCAGGCAGCCGCGGATGCTGATTGGAGGATGTTCATCCTGGCTGGGCCCCGCCCCCGCCCCGTGAAGGACGGCTTCTCGCTTGTCCTTGTAGAGGAAAAGCGAATGGGAGCGAAGCACGGAGAAGACGCGCTTCCATGGACGCATGCCACCACCTACTTTCTACAGTAAGGAGAGACAGAAACAAGAACATTACCGTGAATAGGAAACATCAATCACAGTTTAGCAACTATAATAAGCTATGACAAGCTTACGTTCCCAGATGTTACCATTTCACAGTTTAGGGTAATTCTGTCTTTTTCTTTTATTATGTTCTTTTTATTCTTAAAAGTTAGGCATTCTTATTTGTTCTTCTTAAAATTAATAATAAATTCATAAATTAATGTAGTACTATAGAAGTTAAAAAACACAAAAAACAAACAAACAAGGAGTTCCCGGAGGCTCAATTCTGGGGAATGCAATATCTACATGCTCCCCCTACCCTAGCAGAGATTATGGAAAATATATATTACCAAAATTATGCAGACACAGATTTATACAATGATATTTAAAACATTTTTGGCATTTTGCCTTTTTTTTAGACCATTTCACAGGGTTCTGATTTTCAGTCTGACTCAGTTATACCCTTAAAAAATATAGGTTAATTACTGGTAGCTAACGTTAGCTAGCTACAAATGATTAAATCTGCAGGCGACAGTTCAGCTGGCAAACTCGTCAGTTGCTGGGTAGGAATAACAAACCTGCTTCTACCTAAAGACAAGGACCCATTGTATCTGCCACTGTCATGGTTGCAAAATGCATATGTGCCATACTAGAATGGAACACTTGAGAGGTGTAACTGAGGCCCTTTTTAAGGGGGGTGTGGTTAAAGGAAGAATCAGTTAGCTTACAGTGTGTACAGGCAGTGTGTTGTACCTTTCCCTTCTCTGTGAGGATCTGTTTGTAGTGCAGCCAGCCCTCCTTGCGCACATCACTAAAGGTGATGGTTCCCAGTTCAGAAGTGGAGTGGCGCTTGGACCGGGCCTCCTCCTGGGCTCGCAGGCTCTCCAGAGACTAAAACATAATTTAGGGGCATTATTAGGGTGCACAATAGACAGTGTTTAGTTGGTTGCTGGTGTAAGAATAAAATAGAATTAGAAAGTGTGTTAAAGACTCACCCCATCAGTGAAAAAGCTCTTGACCCTTTTTGGTAGTTTGCTGTGGAACAGAAAGGAAACAAGTTACAAAAACAGCCCGCCTATAGAGTCTAGACAGTGTCTGCGAGGACAGTATTTTGCATACTACATAGTAAATGTAAGTTGTAACAGCCAACATAAATCCAAGTGAAAATTAAAAAAAAAAAAAACTTAACTATTATTAATTACTCTTAAAGCTATAATATCCTGTTTTTTATGTCTATCAATTACCCTGTATCTATGTTAAAGCCCCCTTTTAAATTATATTTGTTACTGAAGTTTTGTGGTACATACAGGTATAGGCGACAGGTACAAGACAAAAGTCATTTCTAGGAATATATAGACCCATCTTAGTAAAGAATACAGCATTCAAAGTGTCCCCTGTCTGAGTTCCTGACTCACGAGAAGACACGGCCTTCGTCCCTGAAGGTGTTGAGACCCTCGTCACAGGACTTGGATCTCTCGGTGGTGATGGCCAGCAGGTAAGAGGAGCGGCGACTTTTAATACTGCCTGAAGAGAGAAAAAGGCGATTCAGAGAGGAGAAACGGAAGAGAAAGACAGAGTGTAAAATAAATATGCAATGTATTGCAGTGAACTGAACTGAAATGACAAGACAATGAGTGATTGTTGTTGTTTCAAACTGTGAGTGATAAATATGACAATAACCAGGTGGATGAATTAAGGGGTTAAACATACAAACTGCCTATTAAAGGAATACCTTGACATTTGACTTTCAAATTATACACACAGTGGCTTTGAGTACTTCCTTATGAAATGATGAATTATAGGGAAAGATTTTTTGCAAAAAGTGGATGGAATTCTTCCATGTAAATATCACTGTACTCCTTTAAAATGAGTCTAAGGCTACGGCTAGACAAATATATCAGTGTGCCAAAATAAATAAATAAATAAATGTGTGATTTGTATATTTTATGCACCAATGCACCAAGACAAATTCCTTGATGTGTAAAAACGTACCTGGCAATAAACCAAAATCTGATTCTGATTCTGATTCTAAAGGCATTAGATAACTGCTTGTCATTTTGACTCAAAAGCAACGGCAGTGGTGTTTGGCAATGTCAGTTCAAGCATACTCGAAAACATACTGTATATTGGTCTAGCCCTTTCTGAAGCCTTTTTAGTATTTAGAGTGAGTGAGTGAGACTCACTGCAGTCCTGAGAACGAAGTCGGACAAAGGGGGAGATGGAGGAGAGGGTGGGGGAGACAGAGGTGGAAGTGAGGGTGGCCATAGCGGAGGCCTGGGAACTGGACACCACAGAGCAGGCTGGTACATAGTAGGCCTGTACGTCAATACTAGGACTGGTGGGTTCATCTGCAAGGTTGTCATCACAGGTGAACAATTAGGGATGAGAAATTATTAAAAACAATGATAAGACAAAACATGCTAAGAGCTTCCTCAGGTGCTGTTTAGGTTGTGAGGACCTCTTTCTGAGGCAGACCTACTCTGGAAGCAGAAATAGCCTCTGATGGAGATTAGCCACCTGACAAAATTAAGCTGCAGTAGATAACTTTTATGAAAATAATTAATAATTGTTAAAACCTTCACTATATCCTGACAGTAGTACATGAGAAAGATAATCTGTGAAACAATCAGGTTCCTCTGGCTCCTCCTAGTGATCCTAATGGTGTCCTAGAATCCACTGGGACTGAATGAAAAACAACCAATTAGAGCCAGGAATGATATCAAGATGCTTTGGGTTGGAAGCTTGAAGATAGTTGTTTGTTGAGTCTCATTTCCAGAGTGCCAAAATGTCTATATTTGACGCTCTGGGAAACAACTATTTTCCTTGGCTCCGATTGGTTGTTTTTGTTCAGGCCCGGTGGATTCTTGCAAATACCATTAGGATTACTAGGAGGAGCCAGAGGAACCTGATTGTTTCACAGATTATCTGTCTCATGTACTACTGTCAGGATATAGTGAAAGTTTCAGTAAATATGACAAAAAGTTATTT